CCCCCACCCCATACTAGTCTGACCGACACCTGCTCACCTCCCAAGACAGTCTGAGCACAGACTTACTACCTCCACAGAGCCTTCCCTGGGCACCCTGTACCACCCTTCCTGGAGCCACCCGCTCTCTTCTTTGGCCCCATGGTGCCGCATGCTGTGCAGGCTTTTCTATCCAAATCACCTGGGGTGGGGAGAGATTACTTTGAGTATCTACCTGTTTGTTTACAGAGATCTCCTTCTACAGGACTCACGTTCCTTTAGGTCAGGGATGTATTCACCTGGGACGCGTTTGTAGTGACAATTCTCAGTACATATTAGAAAAATAAATGATTTGGAAATCAGATGAAAGTTTGAGCTCTAAAAGGGGCCCACACCCACTTCTCAAACTCTAAGACCACACCAAGCATTGCAAGCGGTGCTGAAACCTCTTCTATGAGCTGTGCGATTCTCAAAGGCTCTCTAGGAAGAAACCTGTTCACGGTCCTTCCTCATAAGGGTGTTTATTATTTTTACCAAGTTTTAGTTACCCAAACTCTATTGTCTTTAGGCACAACTTGAGAGTGAAAAGATGCATGATCAGGGTGACAGGCCCGTGGGGCGCAGGGCAGCCCTGAGGCCTGCGAGCCCACGGCCACTGGACTGTACATGAGGCTCCCCTTGGACTGTGCTCTGCCTGAGGTTCCGAAACCCAGGAATCGGGGCACTTCTCCTCCAGACAAGGGCTCTGCGAGTCTTGATAAAAGGCACACACCACCCTGTGGACAGCAGCTTTAATACCTAGGCTGACGGGCTGTCAGTAACAAAACGTCTGCCTTTTATGCAAAATGCAGGGCTTTGCCCTAAAGACAAAATGACATCAAATCCACAGGGTTCCCTGTGCCCTGGAGCTGTCGCTCCCATCAGGGACCAGAACTGTGCCCAGAGAGCGCTGGCGGAGGCCTTTCCTGCCCAGCCCCACCCTGTCTGCAGAGCTTTGGGTTAGAGGGAGGAAGAGGACTCCAGCTTGCCTGGACAAGAGACCTGACATCCTCCGGTACACAGCGTTCCCGGGTGTGTTTACTCCCTGGGCTCCCATCCTGCCCTCCCGCCCCCTCCCCACCCGCTGCCTCCTGTCCCCTGGCTTTGCTCTTCACCTGCATTGCATTGTTTATTGTATTTTCAAAATTTGTTTCCTGCTGTAGAGTTAGTTTCATAAACATTTGATATCTTATTTTAAGTTCTTTTAATAGGATTCAGAAGGTGCATGTGTTGTATACCATATTTCATAGTGAGAGACCACCGGCAGAATAGCCTGGGCTGCCAGATCAGCATGGCCACTGGTTTCTGAGACCTTTTAGAAAAGTTTTCCTAAAGTGCCAAATGATGTTTGAACTGCTCATAAACTGTCTTGGTGAAGAGGCGGCAGCTCCGCACCGGTGCAGACTGGCCGCACACACCACCCTGTGGACAGCAGCGCCCTGGCCCCACACGGCCCTGGCAGGTAGAGCCAGCAGGCTCTGCACTGCCACTGTGCCCCAGCCATTGCGATGGAGGGTGGCCCTTCCCACTGTGGAATGTCATATGAGGCATCTTGAAGTTGGGGACCCTCCTTGGCTGGCCTGAGTCTCTTTAGCCTCTGACCAACATCTTAGGGTTCCTGCGTCAACCGCTGTGGGGCCCACATGCAGAGGGCTCTGCCCAAACCAGGACCTGAAACCTGCAATCAGAAGGGCAGTGACCTGCTTCTGATGCTCAACAACTGGAGGGTGGATGTTAGAGTGGAGAAAGTGCAGCACAGTGTCCCGGGTTTCATAGTTGTGCACGGAGCCCTGGTAAAGGAAGGGAAGCCTATGGAAACTGACTAGGCCTGTGTCACAGCCAGTCGCACAGAAACTGGAGAGGCCAGCAGTGCACACTGCGTTCGTGATCATGATCTAGTAAAATTAAAAGTTAACGAAACAGCCGGCTGGGCTTGAGCATCGACCTACAATTCAGGAGATCGAGGTTCGATTCCCGGTCAGGACACATGCCCGGGTTGTGGGCTCAATCCCCAGTTGGGGCCGTGCAGGAAGCAGCCAATCAATGACTCTCTCATCATTGATGTTTCTATCTCTCTCTCCCTCTCCCTTCCTCTCTCTGAAATCAATAAAGATATATTTTTTTTAAAAAGTTAATGAAACAAGATTGCAACCTGCCCACCAGCCCCATCTCAAAACCTCTATGTTTGGGAAAATCCTGATAAGAGATCATAAAATATTTACATCAAATCACAGTAAGAACAGCATATCAACACTTGTGAAATGTAGCTAAGAGGATACTTAGATGAAAATCAAAGGCTGAATTCATATGTCATAAAGGAAGAATTGAAGTTAATGATCTTTGTGTCCATCAAGAAATTAGAAAATAGCACTAAAGCCAAATAGATCAGAACGATGGAAATGATACAGATGAGCAATATAGAGGTTGGCATTTGGGTGAGGTTATTTCATTATACAGAAAAAATCTGATAAAAAATGGCCAGATGTTAATATCTATATAGCATCTACATTGATGTCTGTTATAATATATTCTGAATGTTTCTCTTTGCTTGCATTATAGTTCTCAAAGTTGATTTGTAAAAACTGCAGGCCAGGAAAACAAACATTAACTTTGTTTTTGGTTTTTCTAATGAGTGCCTACAATCTGAAATGTATGTTTTAATGGCTTTCCCACTGGGCCCCCAGATAAAAGGACACGAGACTTTCTGATTCTGTCTTAAGGCTTGGACGAAGCCTTCTCCCCTGGGTGGCCACACAGCCCTCCCGTACCTCTGCAACTGCACAGGATGGGGCTCTCTCACTCTTTGAGGAGTCTCCCAGGTCTCCAGCATGGATTAGCGTCCAGATCAGACCATCCCAAACGTACCCCCAAATTCAGTGGGAACCTGCCCAACTGTTTCTGCAAAATGCAGTCACAAGCAAGTAGAAACTTGATTTTTGTTCAAATAGGTGAGGGAGACACAGCAGCTATTAGATATCATTAGTGATGTGACTTTGAAATAAAAATGTTCCAGGGTAACTTTTTCCAGCCTCTGGATCACTTGACTTAGGAGACTCTCCTGAGCTTGCAGGGCAGGTGTTGGGTGGTCACGACTCCTGGTATCATGTCGTTGAAATGAAAGAGTGGTGACTGAGCAAAGCACTGGGCTCAGAGGCTACGACTTCGATTTCCAATATTTGCTTCTCCCAGTCGGGCGCCACCGTTTCGGAATGAAATTCTAAGGGAAACTGTGCACACGCTGTTTGGCCGCTTGCACACCAGGCAGAGCTGAGCAGTTACAGTAGAGACCTTATGGCTCTACAAAGTCTAAAATATGGATTATTTGGACTTTTACAGGAAAAGTGAGCCAATCCTGCTCCACACAAGAACACCGACCTCCTTGACTTATAAATGTCATAAATGTAAACTTACAAAATGCATGGGTAATAAAACACTAGATTTTTCCTATTGGCACTTTTCACAAGATTTTATCCTAAAAGCAAGCAAACAAGGAATCTGTTGCTTCCAAAACATAGAAACTGCTGTGTTATGGCATCATCTCAGGCAGACATGGCTGCAGTTAGCAAGACAAAGCTCATTCTTTGGGGAGGGCCTGGGAAGGTCTGCCTTCAAATCTCCAAGAACCGAGAATAACTGTCAGGTTGCTAGTATCCGGGGCATTGTTTTGGACTTAAAAATTATAGTATTAACATTTGTTTTTTTGTGTGACAAAATATAACAAATGTAGCCCTTCGATGAATTGCTTAGACATGGCTTAGAAATATGTGTTATTTTTTTAAGTATACATATGCTGATTTCTTAACAAAGTTGGTAGAGTGTTGTTCCCTTCTACCACATTTTAAAAATCACAATATTGCCCTGGCCAGTGTTGCTCAGTGGTTAGAGCGCCGGCCCGTGCACTGAAGGGTCTCAGGTTCGATTCCTGGTCATGGGCACGTACCTGGGTTGAAGGTTCGATCCCTGATCAGGGTACATGCAGGAGGCAACCAAGCAATGTGTCTCTCTCACATCAGTGTTTCTCTCTCTTTACCTTTCTCTCTGCTCCTCCCTCCCTTCCACTCTCTAAAAATCAGTGGGGAAAAAATATCCTCATGTGAGGATTAACTAAATAAAAAATCAGTTTTTATACTTTTTATAAGAAAGTTAGCAACACTGTAGCACGCACGGTCTTACTGCCCCTAATTGAGCTAATGAGAGTCCTGCTCGTTCCTGGGCCTCCACAGCCCAAGGGCGGAAACTGAGGGGAACAGGTCCTGCAAAGCTCACCTGCCCGGGGGGCCATCAGCGGGCTCGAGCTCCCACCCTGCAGAGTCGGAAGGCGCTCACCTTCTCCGTTTGTGTCTTTGAAGGGTCTTCCCCGAGTCCCTGCGGTGGCTGATGGCTACTCAGCAGTTTGAGGCTGCTAAGAAGCTGATCCTGCACCTCACAGAGAAGAACCGCATGAGCCCTGAGAGTGACATCAAAGGCGTGATGCCCGGTGAGTACAAGCCCTGGGAGAGGCGCCACCTGTCCGGTGCTGGACCAGTCGCAGCAGGTCCCCGATGCCGGGGATGACTTGGTTTTTACCAAGCAGCTGCCCATGCTAGCTGTTTAATTTCCTGTGACGGTTGGTCTGCAGCTAGGCTAGGGAAGTAGGTGAATTGAAATTCTCTCCATCCTCTAGGAGCTGGGTGTTTACCGACCAGCTCTGACACCCTGTGGGGCCTCCCTGGCTTGCCCAAACCCGGAGCTGAGGCGTGAGCCTCACATGCACCTGGTCGTCAAGGGGGCATTTGGGAGAGGTGAAGGAGCCGGAGCCTGGCACGCCCTGCCTGCCTGCCAGGTTCGGGTGCCTGCCAAGCCCTGGCTGGGGACGTGGCTGGCTTCACTGCCTCTCTCCCCAAGTCTGACCTCCAGGGAGCCACCAGCGTCTATACCTCTCATGACCTATTGGTGGGGGCTGAAGAAGTAGGAAAGTGAAGCGTTCCCACCTGTGGGTTCAGGTCCACGAAGTTCCTTTGCACTGGGGACATCACCACAGGGCAGACCGGGCTTGCAGCTGTGGCTGCATATTGTCACTGGGGGGCTGTTAAAAATCCAGACTCCTGGGCCCTCCCTGCACCTAGAGGTCTGATCCATTCGATTTGGAATAAGCCTAAGAATGTGCACTTTTAGTGACCACTAGAGATTCTGACCCCTGAGGTGCATACCTCCTTCTGAAAGCCTCTGGTGGACCGACCCACTGCCCCAACCTGAAGACAGTATCAATGGCACTGTTTTTAGAAATTTCCCAGGAAAATAAACTGCAGGACCTTGTCCCAGAGAGATACACACATTTCCCACCATGATCTGAAATTCCATCCCACAGGTGTTTACTAACACCAGCCATGTGCCAGGCCCTGTTCTAGAGTAGAGAAAAAAGAGGCAAAGCTGCTCTCATCGAGCTTGCAGGCAGGTGCGAGAGCCGGCAGTGAACAGCGCAGTGTGGAAACGTCAGGGGGATGGATGCTGTAGGAAACACCCACAGAGCAGAGGGCTGGAGGGGGGATGAGCGAGCACA